GTAGGTCGGTGGTGGAAGGAGTTACTCGTAACGAAGTACTACGTAGTTACGTTAACGTAAACTAACTAAACTAACGTACGCGACACGACGGTCGTACGTACTATATATATATATATATATACACACACACACACACACACACACACACACACACACACACACATGTTGTTGATTCATACACTCGAGAATCTTCTACAATTTTAGAGAATGGGCGGGAGTTTCGCAATACATATCTAACACTATAAACTATGTATATTTCTAAATATGAATTTAATCTAAACAAACGTCGATATTAAAATAAATATACAATAATAAATCCGTCACAAGACTTACAACGCTATAAACCGGGTTTCGATACCCGTGCTGGGCGGAGTACAGATATCCTATTGTGTGGCTTTGTACTTAAATTTCAAAGAAACAAAACCAAGCCTGGCATCTATATTTAATTTTCACAATGTATATGAACGAGTCTTTTGATAATTGAGAGGAAAAAAATTCGGGTAGGATGAATTGTTCGTTAATATAGATTAAACGCATGAGTTTAGTTTTCGTCTATGACCTCCTTATGTACCTTACAAGTGAATAAAAACATACTGCATTTTATGTCAATATTATGTCACAGTTGGAATATTCTTACCATAGGTTGACGAAGTGTGAGCTTGCCAAGGCTTTGAACCGAGAAGCCAGCTACAAAAACACTGTAATGGAAAAGGATGCTTTAATCAGAGAACTTCAAGACCACGTTCATACACTAGAGAGAGAAGACGGCGGGTATGAGAAGTAATAAATACCTTAATCAGCATTAAAAATGTTTTAATGTTGCTAGCTTTTTTCCAAAACTTAAGTGTACGTTTCATTGTCAAAATGAAACATTTTAACGTTTCGTTTCATTAAAACATTTGTAGTTAAACTGTATAGAAGTTTGGAAATCTTTCCTGAGGTCTTCATAGTTCACTCGAATTCTATAATTCTTAATTAGTTTCAGATACTTTTATGGCTATAAACACCAGTATGTTTAGTTCCGTTTATTATACATCTGATTATTTTAGTTTTTTTTTGTTACTGATTACTCGGTAGGATAAATATTTCAGTTCTGTATTCTCCATACATCTCTTAAGAGAAGTATGCTAATCGTTCATAGTGGTGAATTGTAGTTTGTAAGAAGTTAATTTTTTAAACATAGCTATACGACGAATCACAAGGTTCACCAATGTACTTTGAATAATTTGTATTATCCAACATTTATTTTATTAATAACCTTTCATCATCTTTATAGTGATTTAAGACAAGAAGATAAACGCTTCGTTTCGGTCAAGATATATAGCGTTTCGCTACCAACAATTCTAAATGTCATTTGTTTTTTCGGATACAACATTTGCTCACGTTGCGATCAAAGATTGTTTGAAAAAATGTTATTGAATTTATTTATTTTTGGTTTTTTAGTGCAAAAATAGACATTCACACTTTTACTCAACTGTCGTCATTAACAGGCAGTTGCCCAATCAGAGATCGGTACCACGCTACCACGAAAAATGCAGGATTCTCCAGAACCACAATCGTTTTTTGAATGACGAAGTCCTGAAGTTGACTCGGATGTTGCAAGAACAAAAGTATCATAACCAGACCCAAATGTTGTAAGTACAGGTCCAAACTATTACAAGATGATTGAGAAAAGTTTTTTGTATGAGAGAGTCTCGAAAATTAGTGCAAGGTAGTTTAATGCAATGTAGTATTTTCGCTTCTTATTAGTTAATAAAGAGATCTTAGGACTTGTGAAATAGAAGGGATACCCTTGCTCTCAGAGGTTCAGAGAGGCCCGGTCCACTTCTATCTTTTGAGGCCCCTAAAAATGATGACACATTAAAACCAAATAAGACAATCATTAGACCAAAAGAAAAGTGAAACATAATTTGAATAATTTTTATTTAACATATATTTATTAACATTATTTAACAGTATATAATCTTTGTGATAGTTGTTAACTATAACTATTTGTAACAGTTTTTTCTCCATACTGTCTACATCAATAATTTGTTTTTACGTTTATTAGTTTTCATCTGCGATATATGAGAGGTATCTTCTTTTAATTGTGTTGAAAGATCTGAGTTTAAACAGTGATTACCAATGAAAAAAGGTCTTTGCGTCTCAGTTGTGCAAAAATAACCTTTTTTGTCCGATGTTATCAGAAGAATTATCACAAAGAGTATAGTGTGCTTATATCCCAAGGCAAACATTCACGTTTTGCTATTTCTCCAAGAATACAGTTACAGAATCCTGTATACTTTGTAAATTATTCTCTACTTCGTTAATTTCTTCGTTGATTTGACTAAATTCTCTCGACTGAAGGAGTTAAAAAAAGGAATAACTTTTTTTACGTGTCATATTAAACAAAATAAACCTTTATAACAATTTAGAAAAGTTGAATGTTATTATGTTATCTTTATTTTACATTTCAATCGATTCATTCAGAAATTTATAATTTTCTCATGTAACGTGTATATAT